GCAAATTGTTTTTAAAAAATCTGAAAATTAAAATCACTAATTTAATTTTAAAATATACAGATTAAAATAAACTTTGACTAAAAAATCTTAAAATATATTTTATTCTTTTCTTTTTCTATATTTCACTGGTAATTCAAATATGAATATTTTAATTTCTTTTTTTTATCACGTCATCAGTTGTCATATTTCTTAATTTCTTATCCTCCTTTCGTTTTAATTTGTCCGCAACCATAATTCATAACCTTTTAAGTTTGGAAACATTATTACAGCTTGAATTTCTTGCAGTACTCTCAAGACATTGATTATTGAATTGACAGCGCACACAGAAAATTTTGTAATTTTTCAAGGATTCCATGATGTGAATTATAATTTATGATATTTTTCTTACATATAATATTTCTTGTATTAATACATAAACAATAGGAGTATTATCAAAGGAATTTCTTTTATTTATATTAATAAGGAAAAAAAGTATTTCGTATCTCTTAATTTTTAAAAATTAAAAATATTAAAAAAATAATTTAAGAGTGATTATGAATGATTATTCATAAAACAAAATAAAAATTTAGAAGTATGATAGCCTAAAAAATAAAGACAAAAAAATAGTTATGCCAATTCATATTCTCTTTGTAGTATGTATAAATAATTGCTGTAACCAGCCGCGAAAGATCTCATCAATTCACACAAATTGTTGGATTAACTTAGTTAGGCCGTGTTAGCTACTGAGGGAGTTAATGCTAGGTATACAATATGCTAATCAAGTTCTAATGTTTTTTTATTCATTCATTAAGTATTAAAGAAATTTATAATAGTTAGTTGACCAACTAAATTAAATCTTATTTATAAATTTTAATATCTAATGTCACCTACAAATAAGAAAAGGCTTCGCAATATATTCTTTACTTAATACAATCTATAATATATTATTAAAAATCATAAAATTATAAATTTAACATATAACAAATAAAGGTCAACAGGTGAGTTTTTTTTTTCTCTTAACAATAGTTATTTATTTCTACATGGTAATAATTGGAGAATATGACTAGTTGACTAATTCATCATTATTATATCACAATTAATCTATAACAATTAATAAAAAATATTAAGTTAATTTTGTGCTCACATTTTTTTACTCTTTTATCATCCAACTAATACACATATCACATATTATTATAAAGTAAATTGCACATTCTCACATTATATTACTTTAAAAAAAAAAAACACAGAGTACTTCATTTTCCCTAATAGTAAGTAAAAGAAAACAGACGACTTTTTTAACATTAATATTTAATTAACAGAGCAATACTACTTACACAAAATTTATATTAATTTGTACGAAATATTATTTCAGAAACAATTTTAAACCATATTTTAATTCCCATGCATCATGGTAACTCGAATATTAGTTCAACAGTTTTATACACCTCTCCATCTCTATAATTTTTTAAAGCCTATACATTTAATATTTAATACATTTTTCATTTTGATTATTCAGATGAAACTCGAGATTGGTAAGCCAGTTGATGGGATCTACAATATCCAACCTATCAATGCCACGAAACTAGATAGTTAACCCCTTTGCTTCAAATCAATGGCCAATTTCATACCAACTTAATTCGGTGAGCGATGAGGAACAATAGTTGCTTAATCAAGTAACTGAGATTTGAATTCTAACTCTTGTATGTATAAAACTTAAGTTGAAAACGAATATTCACCTATTCAGTGTCTTTTAAATTCAAAAAAAATAGTTTCAGTGTACACCGATATCTTTTTGGTAATGAACTTAAAATAAATAATAAAAATTGGGCAAGTTCATAATTAAACATAAAATAGGGGAATCAACGATGCCCTCTTGTGTTGTACAGTAAAAAATTGTTACCAGAAATGTGTGGGAAGGCAATTTTGTAATGTAGGGAAATGGTTGAGTAGTGAATAGTGATGACAATCGACATCGTTGTGCATGAAATAATCCTCTTTGCACACAGATGCGTCTTTGTCACGTAGTTGAGGGCAGTCTCCAAGAACTTGCATAGATAGAAACATTATACGTTACTGGACCACCCAAAGTGCTCACTCGTGACTTGACTTCACCGTTGTCTTCTTCTCACGGATATTACCCTTACCCTACATTCCTATCTAATTCTTTTATTACTTTAATTTACAAATAACTAGGTCAGAATAACATTGTCTAAACTAATCGTCGTGCAGCACACAAAAATTAAACAATCATATGGTTGACTTCAGAATATAATTAATCCATGATTGTTTGCTGGGTAACAGTGACATGAGTATTGTTCACAGTCTATGAAAATCCGTTGTTTCTGTTTTAATATCGTTTTTTATCTAAAATATAATTTGCATTGCAGAATATATGTTATAAAAGTAAGTACATATTTCAAAATGTTGTTGGTGAGTAAAATCAAATTTGGATTCTTCTTCAACGATAAGGTATCATATTCAAATCTTGTTGACCACTAGGGTTAGCCTAGTGGTTGGGTGGGGAGGGATTAGAGTAGTTAAAAACATGAAGACCTAAGTTTAATTCTCATTACAACCATTTTTATAATCTTTCTTATCTTTACAAAAAAAAATATTCAAATCTTGTTGAAAAAAAAAATCCTAAAATAGAAGGTTAAGTTTTCCAAAAAAAAGAGTCATAAAAAAATATCAATACTTCACCATCAATGGCATTATTTAAAAAATAATAATTATTGTCATTCAACTCATAGTTTTTTCTATTGGAAGTGGCATTGTATTTTCTGCTCTATTGGACACATTTTATTCTAAAGACTTTACTAATATCAATTATTTTTATTTTCTTTTTATTATATTATATCACTTATTATATATTTATATATTTTTTCTTCATTTTAGGTATCATATTATATCACTTATGACCTATCTTTTTCCAAAATAATATATTCGGTCACATTTTTTATTGGTAAAACTGATGAAAATCATAATATATATTAAAAAGAGAGAGTTGAAAATATGTTATTAGCTATTAGTACTCCTTTAAATCACAAAGTTTGCTATTGGCCTAAGAATGGATGGCGACATGGACGGATCAAAACCCTAGGCTAGGTTGCAACTTGCAAAAGGAGGGAATTAAGAGAACAGTAACCAATTGAAAAGGAAAGGTGAGAGGGTGGAGTCAACAAAGGTGTTATTAAGTGTTAACCTCCACCCAAGATAGAGTTCCACTTTGGAGAACAATGATGAGTACAAGGCTCAATTAAGTTTTGATTAAACCAAAATTCAGGTTCAATAAGTCATTGGCGGGTGGACGCATATTCTTGTTTTTTTTGTTAATTATTTATTACAGGACTTATACATAGTATCTATCATCAGAAATAATAATTAATTACTACCGTGAATGTTTACAAAAGATGTGTATTTTTACTTCAACATGATTTATTCCATATTTCAAAACTAGAATTTAAATTTTGATCGAGAGACGATCACTATTAGTTATTTCAATAAATGTTGTGATGCTTATCCTGTATGCAATTGTTACCTATTGTTCCCTCCTATGCCTATATTTTAGCCCTAGCTGGCTTCGATTGGACTCTTGCAATTTGTAGTTACCCATACAAGGTATTCATAACACAAGCAGGAAAAGATCTAAAGAAAAATCATCTAGTTCTTTACTTCTTTCAAGAGGCAATGGAACTTACGAAGCAATAATATATATTAGTCTAATTTGAAGAAAATAAAGGGTGATGAATTGCACTTCTCAATAGGCTAATCCATGGCTTCGGTTTGAACGATTCTTTAACCAGCCCATGTCACATGGACATGCCATGTGGGTAAGGCCACCTACTGTTATTGAATGAAACAGTAAGTACTTAATATAATAGGCAAGTTCAGTTGAAGTATCAGACTATCAGGTAGGCAACCTATTTCTTCCTAATATAGTTACATTTTATGTTCACGAATTAAATACAAATTATCAAAGAGGTATTTAATTTTAAAATTCTACAAACAAATTCATTTAATAAAATATAAATAAATTTATTTTAACATGTACTTTGTGTTAAAAAAATTCTTATAATATTATCGTTATTCATCATCACCAATGGCAACTATTTAATTTTCATGGCACGATTATAAGAATTTTTTTTTCTTATTAGAAGTGTAAAAGAGTCCGGTGGGGTTGGATTTAGCCGATTCAACCTAATAAAACATAATTGAATTGGGTTAGAATAAATTTATATATTTTTTGTTAAACAACTAAACCCGATTATAACTAGACTAATTTAGTTTAGATAATTAGGTCAATTTAATAAAAAAATATTAATATATTTAAAATTTTAAATAGAAAAAGAAATATAAATTAATATATATATATATATATACACACACAAATAAACAACACATTCTCATAAATATGGCAATTTTATGTTATGAGCAAGAAATCTACGTTTTTATCCTTGAATTTTTTCCCTTTAAGGTAGAGATTAATTTCAGCTAACAACAAAAATTTTAGTTATTTTAAAAAGTGATCATATACTTCAAAAAAAATCGTTTCCATTAAATCATCAATAGTAATTTTAAAAAGTAACTCTTCTTAGTGACGATGTGACTTAAATAGTTAAATTCCTTCCAGATATATAATTACAAACTTGCTCAGAAATTCTTAACAAATATCTTGTCATGAAATTGACTTCAAAACTTTAGAACAAGTACAAAAAAAATGATAAACTTGTCTATAAGACTACTTTACTGAGGTTAATTCAATAAGCCCAAAATGAGTTAATAAAACAGCCTAGTGCAATCGCTTTAAAACCTTTGTGCATAAACCTACATTTAATAATAATGACAGCTAACTATATATATTTCATCAAGCATTTTGTTTGAGCAGGCAATGGGGAGTATGAGTGAACCCAAGGAGACAGCAAAATTGTCTCGCATTAAATTTGACAGTAAAAGGAATTCCCTCCACGTAAAAATTAAAAAAAAAAAAAAAGATAAATAATGAAAAACTACAAAACTGGGTTTTACAAAGATGAAATCGGCCCAACTAAACCTTGACAAGTGAATAAAATGTTCCAATTCCCTAGTCAGCTAATAAAACTCACTCTTGGCCATACTCAAGGTGAAGCACCTCTTGTTTTACATCAATCACTTCCTCCACTTCGATGTCCTTGGCCTCGTATTCCTCCTCCTCGTCACTAGCTTCTCCATCTCTAAGCTTTTGTCTCTGTAAACTCTCATCTTCGTGCAACCGCTTCCATTCATTAACCCACTTGTCCCACTCTTCTTTCAACATCCTACGCTTCTCGCGCTCCTGTTCACTCAGCAGCAATGACACATCTTGATCTTCTGCCTCATATTTCTTGCTATACTTCTTCAAGTTCTTGGCAATCTCTTCTTCTTTCTCTGGACTTAGGAAAGATGGTGGCCTTGGTCGCCATAAGAACTATATATTGAAAGAAAAACAAATAATGTGATATTGGTTAATATTCAGAGTACTAGCACAGAATTAAACAAAAAAGGCATTCAGTGCAAAACACGCAGATTAGCAACAATTTCAATGATGTTATTTCTGATATTAAAAATATTCATACTACCAAAACATGGATTCAATAATGGACCGTTACAATGTCCAAACCTATCAACATCTGAACATTGTACATTCACAAATCATTTCTTGTACAATTGTAATATATATAATGGCTAACAATGCATCAAATGCAAATGAGCAAGTACCTGAAAGAAGTGATCCTTCAGAATTCGATACAGATGCTTGCCATTGAAAGACCATATATTGAAACCATTTTCCATTTCATGCACTGAAGTTACAGAAGTTGCAACATATCTGCAGTACATAAAGAGAAAGCAATATAAGCTTGTGATAATTAACAAGCCAATAAGCACTTTTTTTTTACTGTAAAGTGACAAAAATAAACACTTGACCAAGGTAAATACAATTTCAAACTGATTTTCAACAAGATTAACCTATGAACTGTCTTTAATAGCATTATCATTACTTAATGAGATAGACCATATACCTTCCAGTTGGATCCCATTCAATATCTGTTGCCATAAAATGTTCAGCAGTAGCCATAGTTTCAAGTTCATCAACATTGTAAAATTCCAACTGTCCATTGAAACCTTTCAACCCAGCTAATACAATGTAGCGACCTGCAGGTGACCAAAACAGAGCATTTGCTTGCTTGCCTTTCAGGGTAGTGAGCTTTGAAACCCTGCCAGTGTTCTGTGCAGTTCGCATGGAGTAAATGCTAACATCAGGCTTAGGGTTATCACCATGAATAACCGCAAACCTGTGGCCTTTTGGCTCCCAAGCAAATGCAATAATCTTGTCATTCTTATTCTCAAGCTCCAATACTTCAATTGGTATGTCACGTTCTTTTATACGGAAAAGCTCAAAGCCTGTGTATGTGCTCTTTTTCGTCTTTGTGTAACGTTCAACATTTACAGCAAGATAGTCTCCATTGCTTTGCCAGTACATCTTGCAGTCACTGACACTGAAAAGGTTCTTCTGCCTGAGTTCCTCTTTGCTGGGGATTTGAATCAGACTCACCTATAAACATACCAAAGAACATAAATTTAAAATAATTGATACAGAATATATGACCATTACTTATGATAACCAAGTAAAAAAACACATTAATACATGTACATAGAAGAAAAGAAAAAACAGAATCTTACCCTAGCAGGTTGATTACCACCTCCCATTTCAGGAACAAAGAGAGAAATAATTGGATCATTTGGAGACCAGCTGAAATCCATTATATTTTCAACCTTTAAGGACTTTTTGTCAACAAGAGAAAAGGTCTCTGTCTCATATACAGAGAGTACATTTTTCCCCATCCTTGCAAAGTATTTATCATCCCTTCCACCACTCCATCTGCAATGATAGCGACAAAAATGCATTATTGCATTAGACTCGTGACAGATGCTAAAATACTTGATTATGGGGTAGATTAAAAAAATAATAGTACTTGAAAACAGGCCATGACACTCCTGTGACACCACCAGCACCTCCAACTGCAAAATCATCAGCACTTCCTTTGAAGTCCCTCATCACTTTACCAGTCCTCACATCAAATATATTAATCACAACCCTCTACAACATAAAAGGATAGTGTCAGAAACAGTGTCTACACACTCAAAAAAACCACAGAAGAAAGCACTCACATTAGCATCTCGAGGATTGCTTGGTTCATGGCTGCTGTAAGTTACCAGATACTTCTCACCAGGAGAAAAATCAATAAGTTTTACCTGTGTTTAATATTAATATAAATAATCATTAGTATAAAAATATAAAAATAAAAAAAGGTCAAAGTGCCATTCAACAATACAGGATGAATATCAAAGAAAACCTGAGGATGTGCATAACGCATAAGCCTATTGAAGCTTGTAGCACCTCCCCAGACTGCTGCCCCCTGTCTGTGAACAGTGGCCAAGTATGTCCCCAGCGGAGACCATTGCACAAAACTCTCGGTCCAAAACTGAAATTCAGATATACATGAACACGCAGGTCAGCAGCAATATACAATCATATAAAGTAAGGCACTAGTAAATATTAAATAGTACAAGATACTGAAACAAAATGTCCACTCACAGCACGCTTATAAACAGGATCAGGCTTTAAATGCCTTGCATCATTCCACAAAACCTCAGTATCTGAACCAGCACGAATCACAAACTGGTCCCTGGCCTTTGCATCAGTGAGCCAGTGTTGAAGATTTTCCTGCAAGAGATTCAAACACCAAAGAGCATCAGAAATATGTATAAGCAACAAGGTCCAAGTGCAAAAGCTATTAAATCATAAATCATATAAGCAAATACAAAAACATATATTGTTCAAACTTGTACAAGTAATGCACCTGTATTCATGAGAAAATCTGAAATTGCTTTATTCTAGATACTAATAAAATAATAAAGTATGAGTAGAACTAAATTAAAAGTGACACAATGCCTATATATTTCAAAACATATTTTGGATGTAAAACTAGCAAAAGCCTCATTCGGTCCTAATATCATAGTATCAAAAGGCCACAATTGTTGATTGAAACAAAACTATGCATATATTATGACCATGTCTGCAACAAACAGTAAAAAATACAAATAACACATTAATATCTAAGCTTAATTATCTATAACAAGAGGTAAAAAGTAGAAAATATGTTTGTGACAATGTACATAAATATTACCCCTGGTGTATATGGCTTCGTTTCAGGAGGAGCCCACTCATTCGGAACTTTCATGAACCTATCAAAGTCATCAAACATGCTCACGGCAAATATGTGCGCACGATCCAATTTGTAGCCATGAGTCTTCTCTTTAGCAAGCTCAGCTTCCTAAAAGACACCCCAATTTAACCACATCAATTCAAAGAACAAAATTCAATACAACATTATAGCAACATTAAAAAATACTAACAACAAACGAACAAATCCTTGAATTTCACCATGTGCATGTGAGGTTAAGAAAAAGCGAGTATACCTGCGGAGTATTGTACTCAATGAAGCAGTAACCTAGGGTTTTTTCAGTTTCAGGATCAACGGGCATCCAGAGGCCACCCTCCTTGATAACACCAATCTGACTATAAATTTTCCGAACCACTCCCTCGAGCTTCTCGAACTTCTCCCTCGGAACAACGGGAAGGTTATCGACGACAATGATGTTGCCAAATCCAGACTCAAACTCGAGATTATCCTCTTGGTAAATCTCCTCATCGTCACTACACCGTGAAAAACGAAACGCAGTCAGAAAATCAGAACCTAGGGTTTCGAGATAACGAGGAAAACTAACAGAGAGTGAAAAAATGTGATGGTGATACCTGACGATGCCGCAGTTTTCGCCAGGCGGGAGGTGAATGGAGTCAAGATCGAGAGTGGAAAGATCAACGCCAAGACGCAGCGCCGTGTCTTCGATCTCCTTCATGACCATAACGTCCGCCATGACTGTGGCCACCACAGCGTTATCGTTACGGAGGCAGAGTGGGTGTGAGAGAGAGTTTGATTTCTAGGGTTCTCTCCAGTTTCATACACAAAACACGGTGCGGCGCTGGGTAAGATATGTTTCCCTCTTCCTTTTGTGAAATTATAACTTTATATTCTAGTGACATGTTTATTGTATATAGTATAATTAAAATTTATAATAAAATATATATA